CTGGCCACAGATGCTCACTCGACGAATTGGCTTATCATGTGGAAATGTATAGCAGCCAAATACTCGAAACACATGTTGCTTCTAAGTGTGGAGGGAAAAATCGGACGACCTCGAGAAAAATCCCTGCGACTACGGGGAGAACACGCAAACTCCAAATATCGAGTCGGGGTCGGGACCAAACCCACGACCTCCTGTATACCGGGCAAAGGAGTTAACATCCTCGCCACCGTGATTCCCCTTCGATGTAAGAGGCTGCGGTTATGAGATTGTGATAAATTAGGAGTACTGTAATGCTACACGAGTTCTTATGAATGGTGGCATGGCCTAGCGGCAGCGCATTCGTCGCTTGTTGCAGAGATTCGCGCTCATTTCTTATCCAGCGGCCGCTGCGATTAATGCTGCGCCGTGTATTTACCATAAAACGTGCGCCTTTGCTTCGCTGCAGACGATAACGAGCACTTGATGTCATCTGCCAAGAGTTGGCTATTGTGTGCCAGACTGAGTCCAAATTTGTAATTATACATGGTAACCATTGCCCCATACTGCAGAACCTTGGCAGGACCCCCCCCCCCTGAAGAAAGAGTCATGACACTCAGTGAGGTTATCCTGGGTAAACAAGCATAATACAAAAACTAATATAGACTCGTGCAGAGGTGAGTGTTACAGCCAATCTGGAAAGGGGTGTAAGATGCTTTTGTGGTGTGGTGGATGCTGGTTCCGAGAAACCACGTTACTAGGCTACCTCTTCCAGTAGACTTTTTTTCATTCTGGTGGACCCAGAGATAGTTAGTATCATAGGGAATATATATGAATAGTATAGTGGATATGGGCCAATGTGAGCACTGAGCCCAACTTACAAAAAAAATACGGGTGTAAGAAGAATGAGGGATGGCACAAGAGAGGAAGAGAACAATAATTTTTGTTTCCACAAGAGCAAATTTTATGTTGGATGGCAAATAATGCAGCAATGCCCCGATTTACGTCTCTCCCTTTGACGTTGTTTCCGCAAATATGCCGTCACTTTATCAATACCGCTACCCGATTTGCGTCGCCTCAACACACACTGACGTGGCTGGCAGCATCACCTGTCCTTTCCCGTAGCCCTCGCCTCAGCCTTCGCCTCCACCTATCACTGAATCGCCTTGATGTACGTCGTCACGTTCTGACAACGCCCCGACTGGACATCTGTGAAAAAAAAGAGCTTCATAGCTCATCGGATTCCTCCGGTATAAATATTCTGATTCTGTTTCGATATTAGCCACACCTTTCAGGAATGCATCTCTGATGTAAAACGGGGTATTACTCTACTATATCTGGCCAGATGCCATTGTGGAAAGAGGACTGAGCTTGCAATGTGATAGTTGTGAGTTCAAATGCCAGTTAGGAGTGGACGCAGCCTGTTATCCATCCGTGATCAGAACAAATCGTACAACTTCAGTGCAATGTGGAATTTCCATCACCGGCTCTGGGTTACCAAAACGGAAGTGTCTCCTCTCCATAGTATCGTTGGGGGGAATGAAGACGCATTGATTTTGCCTTTCAGCTTCAATCTGGAACCAAATTAAGTAACCTACAACAAAGTCAGATTGCAGGATGCCTGAACGAACACAGTAATCAATTGCCTTTTTATTTTAATCAACTATCAATTTTGATTAGGGGTTTAGCCCAAAAGGAACTGGATTCATTATTGTCAAGTGCTCGTGTAATTCTGTAACACGTTGGATATTGCTAGTGACCTCAATCCAACAAAAAGTTAGTTGTTGGATTGCTCATGAGCACAATTCAATGGAACCCACCAGATACACCAAGCAAGGTTTTAATTTTTTAAATTACCTAAATACCTTTGCCAACTACGGACAGCAAGAATTGTATGACAGTTCGACTATGTATTTAAATGACAGCAAAGTGCAATGAGTAGTACATTCCAATGAGTATATTCCTATAAAACTATTGATTCGAATAAATAGGAATTAGTCTCTTAGCAGAAACCAGAAAAAACATTTAACCTGAACATCACTTTAAAGAAAATACATTTACACAAGCATCCAGATACGGCAAGTCAACTGGTATGAGTACAGGTCATTTAATACAAGCGATTTTAACAGAACTTTGTAGAAGCGTTTAAACGGTCACTAATTTAAAACCTGTAATTGCATCGCATATATTGCATATGTGCCAATTATTTGCACAAAAGGCAATGCCTTCTTTGCAAGAGAAACACCTGGCTTCCTTTCTGCTCAATAAATGTGTGGGGGAGATGGTCACTTCATGGTGGAAAGTCCACATCGCTATGACGGGGCCAACTCTATCCACAGGGCAAGCATTTTGCCTTAGTGTTTATTTTATCCACCCGATAGTGATGATGGGCCAAGTCAACTCCTGACCAGTATGTCAAATCACTATGGATCAATTGCAAATTGAGCACTGCCCATCTGGAGTCTGTGCAGTCTTTCAAAATAGAAAAAAAATCAAACATAGAGCAACGTCTATTAAGTGACGATTGCTCAAGCTACAGCGAAGATTACAAACCCACAACTGTAACTTCAAGTGCCCTCCCAATAACATATTAAAAGTTAATTAATCTTCAGAACAGAAATAAAGAGAACATGCAAACCTTGCAAAGCACAGAGCAAAATATTTACAACCTAATATATATAGCACGAGAACCTCATACAACCTGTTAAAGCAGACTTGCCAATTCAAGTGTAGCATCAAAAAGACCTCCGAAACGTAATGTTTCACCTTTCAAGTAGCAAAACTCCAGTTTTATCAATCACCACGGTGCCTTTACACAACCGCATTTTGCTTAAGATTCTTTGACGTACGTGTAAAGCTCTGCTGTCAATCTACTGCTGGATGAGATTACACCCATACACCGAGCTGGTCATGGGGGTTATTTGAACCGTAACTTCACCGCGCTTGGTTAGAGCGCATCGGTGAAGGCAGGGCACCTAAAGTGCGGGAGCATAGTGAGAACAGAGTACAGGACAACAACAAATGTGGCTTCACTGCCCTCTTGCTCGCCATGCAGCCCCACGTGGACTGCTACGACTGGCTACGCATGGCGGCACCCACCCCAAGCACTATCCGGGCTCAACCCTGTTCAGCTTCCGAGATCTGATGATATCGGGCACATTCCGGGCGATTTCGTCAGAGGCGGTTGCATGAGATACTGTCCAGCGAGGTTTTCACTTGCCGTTGTCCTTTGTGGTGAAGCAGAGCATCACACACACACATACTGTATTAGCAGCTTACGTGTGGATATTAACAAATACATTATAAGGTCGCACTCATTACAAATTGCTTGCCACAAATGGACCACAATACCTTGCTGATTTCATCAAGGAGCATAAACCATCACGCAAACTCTGGTTATCCTCGCGGCAACTTTTGGCTATCCATCGAACAAAGACGATCAACCACATCGCGCACTTTCAGATACGCTTCTGCGGCCATCTGGAACGCTCTTCCTGCCGATATTAGGAAGCCACTGGGCGCTACGGACTTTTAAAATCAAGATTTTCAACTCATTTATTTAGAACAGCTTTTTGTCCGATTATACACGGTTGGCTATGCACGGTGGCAAGAAATTCAACCTACATACATGACAGCTCGACAATGGTCATGAGCAGTCACCATTCATGCTTGCATTAACCAGATTACACATTCTGTTTGGCACGAAGTATTAGCTTAACCAGTCGCGCACATGTCTACAGGTATACAGATCGACTTATGCATGGCAAAAGTCAAACGTGTCTCAACACTCAAAAAGGGGTTTGGACAGTGCTAATCTTTGTTTACAATCGTTACACACCCTGTTTGTTATTTGTGCAATATGCTGCAAGGACCCTGGACTGCTTTTGTCTTCGTCTTCATGTCGTGGGTGCTCACTCACTACCACCGATCTCCCTTGTAAAAATAGCTCTAGGTAAACATAATTAAACTCAAAAAATTCTACTTGCAGCACCGAGTCAGTGGTTAAAATTCCACAATTCGGTGGCAGTGAACGATATATTTGTGACATGGCCAGTAATAATAAAGATGTTGTCCTTTAATTACCCAGAAGAACCTCAACGTGTCTCAAGCTTTTTTTTATTCCCCAGGCAGGTCTTTGCATTGGAATGTTTGGCCAATTGTATTCATGTTTGGCATGGTTACGCATGACAAATCTACGTGTATGAGTGGGACTGCCACTCCAAGGTTCACAAAGATACGATTATTTAAAAAAAAAATAACACGAGTAAGTATTAAAGAAAAGCATTTAATCAATTACCGTAAGAACGCCTCTCCACATGTGTTGGTAATGGGGGTTGTTTGACTATACTTCACCATGCTGGTCAGTGCAGATTAGGGGCCGTGCACAAATGATCCCCCCCCCCTAGTCACACGGCGTCACAAAAAGTCAGACCCCCCCCCCTCTCAAATATGACGTCACAAGGCTCTGCCCCCCCCCCCCAAAATAAAACATGCTTCAAATCGCTTTAAACTATTGTCATTGTGCGTATTTAATGTGGCGCTGCACTCTGATGTTGTAGGAGAAAACATTTACTTAAAAAAAGTCTATTTAATTAAGTAGAACGTGTTGTCTATAATAATTTAAAGTTGCGCATTTTGATGGAACATCACATTTCTCAAAACCCCTCCCCCCGTCTCCGTCACACATCGTCACACATGTCTGACCCCCCCCCCCCCCCCGCGAGGTGTGTGACGTCATTTATGGACGGCCCCTTAATTAAAGGGGGAACTCAGTACCGGTTCCGATATCACTTACCACTGATGTCAACCGTGGTCGGAACTCAAGCTCAGGCCAAGGATTGTAGCGCAGTGCACGAACCATAGAGCCATAGCTCCACCCCCCCAAAACAACTCCTTTTCATCGACCCTGGATCGAGGTGTTTTATTAGTAGCATACTCGCTTATGACACGTGTAATCCATCGCACACAAATCAACGTATGAACGATAAGAGTCCGACCAAAATTAGTTTTGTTTTTTTACTTACCGGAGTGAAGCGTTCTATCTAACCATAGCGCCACGTGCCAGCAGGGCAGGCAGCGAGAGTTTAAAAAAATCACTCCCCTCCAGCCGTGGACGCGGATGGAGAGTGGGAGGGTGAGGGGAGGGCAGAGTGCAGGGGGCTGGCTGAGCCCACAGAGCCACACACAACTTTCATTATGATTTAGTATAATATTATTTATTTACTTATTTACTTGTTATTTCGCTGTTGCTTTTCACTCTTCGCTGGGGCCCTGTTTTCTTCCTTAGCCATTGCTTCCCCCCCACCCCCACCTCTTGCTTGGTTTGGGCCATAGTTAATCTCAGGGTTGTGTTCGACGTCCCTGGAGAGGGGAGAGGGGGGGCTGCAGATGTTGTGCTCTGCGGGGGTGTTTGCATCTCCCGGGGTCCGCTTTGGGTGACGCCCGGGCAGCAATTGGCTCATCTGGGGCTTACGTGAGGCATGCAGCGGCTGTGCCACGTCCCATCTAGGAGCTGCTGGGGCTTTGTTACAGCGGGGCCCCTCTGCTATCACACGTCTGCACCTACTCCGATTAGCAAGGTTGGCTACGTACGATGCGAAAGAAGTTAAACATAAATGCGCATGCTCGGGGCCTGTTAGTGCCATGGTGTCGAGATTGTTGAAATGTTGGTTGTGGTGAACTCGTTGTTGGTGGTGCTGTGCTCGTATCGAGATGCTGTAGTATCTACACATTTTATAAATGCAATTATTTGTCTTTATTCTTGAAGCTTTGGTACAGGAAAGAGCCACGTCATGCCATTCTAGGAAAGCAGCAGCACAGGCCAGTTTTTTTTTATTTATAATCATCATGCAAACATTTCATTGCATCTCAAAAAATCTGATGGGACTTCTGGCGGATTTTGGGGGTGTGACTTTGGACTCTGCCACTTGCGGGTAAGGGAATGCAGTCAGACGCTGTATTTTGCTTACACAATCATTGTTATGTACTGTATACCATTTTGCCTGTGTAGGCAATAGTGCTAAATAATTGGGCAATAGTGCAACAGAACGTGGAGTGAAACTCCAAAAATCCATTCACCAAAAAATGTACATGCCCTAAATATCCATGATTCACCCGCGGTCCACAACAACTCCTATGGCAGGGATGGAGCGAGATGACATAAGTTTGTGAGATATACTGCAGCATCACAAGACCATAAGCGGTGGCGACAGCACGGAGAGGCCTTCATCCATAAGTGGACAGACCATGGCCCATGATAACAAGAAGATAATATAATGATGGTGATGATTTTGCCACTACTGCTGCCTCCTGCACTGCTGACGCTATCACAGCCGTGACACAAGGCACATTACACTATACAACGCCATTATACAGCACCACTACACTTCTACATCTTTCTATTTTCGCTGGGTGCTCTCCGGTTTCCTCCCACATGTATGAACACTCATTAATTGGCTGAAAACATCTTCATATCTAGAGAACTGCGTGTGGCTGCCTTCCAGCTTTTTAGTGGTTCCTTGGCGATTGTGAGATTCCATTTACATGAACGGCGCGATATAACACATTATTATTCAAATATTTGCGGCAGGAAAGAGGAATACATCTGAAATTCATCCCAATATCCGTGTTTGCATGGATAAGATGCAGATAAAAGTAAAAATTCCTCTTCTCCGTGAATTTTGCTAATCCACAAAACAGTCCCTTCCCCAAACCCTCATAAGCAATAGGACCTCAAAATATATTTTTGTTCAATTTAACATTCTGTAACTTTTTTTTGCGTTTATCCACGTATTTATGTCTGATCTTTATTTGCAACAGGAAGGTTTCAATTTTGCCTGACTATTTTGAGTAGGGAAAATGGATTTTTACTCCCGTAAGCTCGTACTCCCCGTCAATTCTGTAAGAGTAAAAAAAACTTCAACCCCACGAAAGAAGAAATCACGTGCGCACAATAATGAGCGCCACCAAAACTGTTAAAATGAAAAAAAACACGTTTATAAATACAATAAGTACAGTCGAATGCTTTGTGATAATACGCATTGTGTTCAGTGGCAGTCTCACGATTTCCCATGTGTACATTTGTATTCATGCCTGGGTGCCCGTGCGGCCAGGCTGCTGTGTACGCACGCGTGTGTGCTTAGCCACCTGTCCATCCTGCTCCTCAACACTCTGTATTCTGAGCCTGCCCATAGCCCAGTAATCTTTCCGTTGCCTTAGTGGATCACGTTAAACGTCGTCATGTGCACCAAGGCCCCAGTGTTAATTCTCGATTATCCGCGGGCAGATTCCCTGGCTGGTCGATTGACCGTGCTTGCAAACAAAATCAATCAAATATCTCTAAGCACACAGTGCTTTCATTATTGGCTGTTGCCCACTGTCACGTGCCCACCGCAAATACCAACACGCGCGCTGGGAAGTAAACATATTACTCCAAGCAGCAATAAAAAAAACAGACTTGAGACATTCTAGGTCTTCGCCCCATTCAACAAATGTTTTGCATCCTAATTGGCATGTGTTTTGCATTATCTGCATTTTCTTTTATTAATCAAGGTTACCAGGCCCCGCCCCCCTTCCCCCCCAAAATTACTCGAGAAATAATTGAGAGTTGGCTGTATTTGCAGAGCTGTAAAGGGGGCCCGGTAGATGGAAATACGGCAATACCATGAGCCATGAGCCACGGAATTCGATTTGAGCCCCCACCATTCCATGTTTTGATCAACTCAAGTTGACTGCCATTTTAGCCTCAGGCCTAAATTCTCTGGGCCGATTTTGCTTCACAGGTTGGCCTGAATTCTGTAGGTCAGAATGCAGGCTGAGCAGAAAAACATCACCAAGCAAGTAACAACATTTAACACGTAAGCCTTCGCGACCAATATTATTCATAATAAATGTTCTTGGGTTAGATCGCGTTATTTATAAATGTGTCGTAACCCTCCACCACCCGACACGGCCAATCGGCAAAAAAGTGTCACATTGCCAAAAGACAAAATAGTTCACTACTTTAGCCCATCGGTGTGTTGAAGAGTGAATCCACAACATTTCCAGTTTGGATTCACTCTTCAACACACCGGTGGGCTAAAGTAGTGAACTAATTGTCTTTTGTCAACGTGACACTTTTTTGCTGATTGGCCGTGTCGGGTGGTGGAGGGTTACGACACATTTATAAATAACGCGATCTAATCCAAAAACCTGTATTATAAATAACATGTTGTAAGTGTAAACATTACATTTGCAATATAACATTTATTTTGCCAACAAATCAGTTTTGACTTTTGACTTGAAAGCAAGGGAACCTGCCCAACTCACGTGATCTTATCTTACGTAGATTTATATATCGCCTTAATTAAAGACACCAATGTACAATTGTATTTGTACATAAGATGATAAAATAGAGAGCGTGGTTATTAAATGTGGTGGTATAGTTGTGGTGGCAGGAGGACAGGAGGGAGTGTGGAAGGAGGGCTTGTGGTAGACCTGGTCATAGCTGGGGGGGGGGGGGGGGCAGGACAGGGCATTAAGATGAGCAAGGGAGAAAAAGAGATGGGTTTTAACAGAGGACACACGGTGGGGTAACTCCAGTAACTCAGTGCTTGCTGTATTTGTTTGTATGTACGTGTGCGTGTTGTTAACGCTGTTCTATTGTTGCACTTGTTCGAAGTTATTAGCACCATTCTTCACCAATGTGGATTGGTGAAGGGTGGGCCCCAGGACCGGTTCAGATACCGTTCGCCACTGACATTAGCTGTGGGTGTGAATCGAACACAGATCACCACGTACACAGTGCCCATAGGGGAGAATGACACCAAGGTTAATGTACGAGTAAAGCGTGGAGGAGGATCAGGAAAAGTTTTGGGCTGCACCTCAGCCCCTGGTACGGTATTTGTGATCAACACAAAGCCCAGGGCATCCTGACCGCTGACAAGTACGGGCAGCTTCCGATCCCTCATGCCACAGATCTATGGTGAAACCATATCTGGCCATTGCAGAGGCTGAAGGCACACTCACCACCAAGGCCGAGTCCTGATTACGAGACTGTGTGGGCTTGTCTATAAACCGAGGTCAAATGGCAGCAAATTGGCTGATTTGTGGGGCATATTACAGGGAAATTGGAACAATACTCTGCAGTAGTGCAGTGGTAAACCATACGGGCAGCATGAAAACACAGTGCAATACTGTGCATCAAGTCAAGGGAGAACATACACATTAGTAGCACACCGAACAACTTATTAGGTTTTTTTATTTAAAGCTATAAAAAATCTCCTGTACCAATCATACATTCATCTAGTTGCAATTGGCAATTGTAACCCAAAGATGTCTCGCTTGTGTATTTCCATAATTGCAATGCTGTAAAAAGGTGTATATGCACATAAATCCATGGGTTTAAAAAAAAGAACATGTAAGATATAAGACCATAGTTCTGTACTGAAATGAAGTACATGGCACAAATGTACCAAGTCTGCTCCTTGACACCATGCCCCCTCTCTCAGACTCCGACATGAAACCTTGACTGGGTGGCCAATAGTCGAGTCAAAAGTGTTCCGTTACTCATCTCCATTTGCGGAGGTAAGAATTCAATATCCCCATGTCACATTGGTGAGTGTCTCTATTGAACAATCACTGTTAAATTCCCACAAAATGCAGTTTATTTTATCAGAGCCCAAAGGATATTGGACCTATTCAACCCCAGACTGGGATTTTAACTGGCTAACTTTCAAATGTTAGTCTAGTGCTCAACAGTAACACCCAGTCGTATAAATACTCGATGGTACATGGCTGTAATGTAGTCCGATTTCATTATTTCATATGCTGTAGAATTCCAAATATCTGTTAATTGGATTATGCCCATGGCAGAAATAGCTTTCCCAATAATCTGAGTTATGCACAGCTGAATGTTTCCATTCTTCTGCAATATAAAAGAAAATGCAGTCACACACATCAACAGATAAAATAACCGGCATGCGACTTCCTGGAAAATCTTTGGAATATTCAAGTAAACTCTGAGTTTTAAAAGCACTGCGTTATTGTTTGACACCGAGTATTACACAATAAACAGTGCTCTATTTACACCATGCTGGTTCTCGTCATGGGAATATACATATTCAACCACTACGTCAGGACCAATACAGGAGAAGTCCTATGATCCGTTACCCTATTACTTGAGACTATTATCCGCAGAAGCAGTAGGGTCCACGAACACCACTATTACTTCTTCCAATTATCCACCGTGCAGAAAATAATTATCATGACTCATGGGATATCCGTGAATTGTTTTATAAGGAATAAAAAAATGCCCATAGATACACCGAGTGACTGAAACGTGCTGCGATCAAAGTGAGTGCCGCCAGCAGGACATGCTTTGATCACACACCACATGCAAATAAACAAACACACAGTGTCACAGAGACATGGAGACACAAAAAGACCCAGGGGCATAGTTTGAGACGTGGATATGCGTAGACGCACAAAGAGACAGAGACACCCACGGAGACACACACAAAGACACAGACACGGGGACACTTTCAACTGGTATATCCATGACGAGTTACCACGAGGCCCTCATGGTGTCGCCGAGCCAGTACAAAATTGCGATGCGCTGGCCTCACAAGATTGCTGAATCTGGCTCAGGGACCAGACGTGCCAAGGGTGCTTAAGAAGTGTGTGTGTGTGCACGTGCGTGCATGCACCGGCTCTGGCTCCTGCCACCATGAGGGGTGGCTTTTCGTCAGATCAATAGAATGAAGGGGGCGTGGGAACATGGCGGTGAGGTGTGGGAAGCTGTAAGCCCCAGGTCACAAAAGCAAAGTTTTGGGGAATAATAGCCATTTTCTGTACTTTTAAGGCATAAGCAATTAGGAAATAACATTTACTACCCAGGAACAAAAATAATAATACATTTGTTACACAGAGTTATGAATGGAGTGGATTATTAACTTTGCTTTTGTGTCCTGGTCACAAAAGCAAAGTTTGTGGGGAATAATAGACATTTTCTGTACCTTTGAGGCATAAGCAATTGGAAAATAACACTTACTACCCAGGAACATTTTTTTTTATATTTTTGTTACAGTTATTCAACATCGCCTTGCCAGGCACGCTGAGGAAAGGCTTGCAGAGCCCCAATATGGTTTCAGGAAAGGGCAGTCCTGAAAAAATGTCATATTTTCTGTCTGTCTGCTACGGCAGAGGTATAGGTAATTCCAACAGAACCTACATCTCTGCTTTATTGACCTGGCCAATGCCTATGATACCATCAGTAGGCCTGGGCTCTGGGTCATTATTCGTGTTTTCGGAGGCCCTGACTCTCTGCTCATAATCATTTAGGACCTTCATGATGGTGAGCAGGCCCGGGTAAAACTACATGGCCAGGAGTCGGAGTCATTCCCTCCTCACCTTGGGGTGCGACAGGGACGTCCTCTGGCTCCAACATTATTTAACATCTATTTCGACCACGTAGTTCGTGAAGTCTTCGATGGCTATACCGGAGGAATTGCCATCTGGTACAGATACAATGGGAGGCTGATCGATGCCCGGATGCGGTCAAGGGATGGCACCCTGTTGGTCAACCATATTATGTAATGCCGATGATCTGGTCACTGCTGCTCACTCAGAGGAGGAGTTGGAGGCGCTGCTGCTGAACGTGGAGCGTGCCACAAAGAGGTGGGGGCCTTACCATCAGCCCCACCAAAACTAAGCACCTGCCTGGGTATTTTGTACCATCAGACACTCCACCCCCACAACTCCAAATTGGTTATGGGGCAGTTGTGGAGAGAGTGGAGAATATTCCATACCTGGGCAGAGTGCTCATGACCGGCTCCAGATTGACAGCAGAGGTCTCACTCTGAATCAGCCGAGCAGCATTATCTTTTCATCGGCTGCATAACGCTATGTGGAAGCTACGTGGTCCATCGCCCCACAAAAAGATTTGGGTCGTCTCGGCCACAGTCATGCCCTCCCTTCTCTATGCTTGCGAAACGTGGACCACCCCTAATGGAACATTATCACCGGTTATAAACATTTAGGCTGGCCTGCCTACGATCCATCCTGGGTTTAACCAGGCTGGATTGTGTGAGGAGCTCACAAATCTTTTAAAAATCTGGACAAAGTCTGATCGGTGAGCTCCTACGGTAGGCAAGGCTGCGTTGGCTGGGTCGTGTAGAACGCATGTCCAGCTTCCTAATGCCTGAACAACTTGTGTTCGGCTGGATAGAGGGGGCTAAACGGGCACGGCACGGGCTAGAGAAGAGATGGAGTGATGTGGTACTAGAGGATGTGGAGCTGAGTCGACTTGACGATGACCTTTACCAGCGGTGTCAAGATCAGCCTCTGTGGAGGAGGCTCGTGAAGGACGCTACTGGAAAGTTGGAGGCAGTCGCCCTCCAGCAATAACGGAGGGCGGAGGAGCGACGCTACCAACAATGCTCGGAGTGCTGGGTGGCTAAAACACAGCAGGTTGGCACAGTAGGGGCCACAGGTGGTGCATCGGCCATTCATCCCAGTCAGTTGACCCATGGAAGCTGGGTGTGCCCCGTGACCTGCCAGTGGGCGTTCGATGTGGCCTTAACGTGCACATAGCCTGGCACAAGCGCCGTGGTGACGTCACCACCACATAGTGGTTGTTATTGTTGCGTGCATGCATATGTTTATGTGTGTAGCCTGTGCGAGTGTGTACACTTGTTTGCAGGAGTCTAGGGGAGCAGTAGTGTAGTGATTAGCGCACCGCACTACAAACACGGTGACACAAGTTCGAATCCCACTCATTATGAGTTGCAGAAGAAAAATATTTTAACCGGTGCTGGGTCTCCCCAAGGTCAACTCAACCTTTAATGAGTACCTGGTGTGATATGTAAACATCAGGACTCGGGAAACAAAGGCGGCTGGGCGTGGTGGTGGCTATCCACCCCCTCGTGTGCCGTGTC